CCCCCCCCCCCCCCCCCCCCCCCTCAATCCCCCTGTTGCGGGTGCCGCTCGAATCGTTCTCTCTCTCACCGCCACAACCGCCCCAGGAGCTTGAAGGATAGACGCCGGTACAAAGCGTGGGGGGATTGTTGGTTAAGCTTTCGGCAGCGAAGGTCTACTCGGGAGCGTTAGTGGGGTAGCTACCCATGGTGAACCGCACAAACGTTGATGACCGTAACTCATTTATCAACCCTGGGTCGACTTAGACCGCCATCAGGGAAGAGAGTGCTCTCTGGCGTCTACGAGGAGGAGATTTTTATGTTTGTATGTCATAAAAATCAAGGAAGAGACGGACATCCCGATGTGTGAGTGAGACCTTCTGTTATGCAAGCCACCCTTGAACCCTACATGGGGAAAATTACCTCCCCGGAGGAAAGTACCCAGTACAGCAGCTGGGGCAAGTAGAGAGAAGATACGGTCGTGGGACGCTTGGGTTGGTTACCGTGCAGATCGCCTGGCACAAACTTGGGGTACTTGTGCTAAGGGTGTTGAACTTGGCTCCAGGCTATGAGTCCATGTTGGACGCACTTTTTAGTGTCGGTGAGCCGGCAAAAGAATTGAAAGACACCAGACCCTCAACAAGTACTAGGATTGGGAAGTCCCAGTAATTTGAAAGCATCCCACTTCAAACAAAAACAACGAGATAGTCTCGAAAGAGATAAGGAGGGAGACGACAAGGCACAAAGGGTGGAGAAGGAGAGAATGGAAAGGTGCAGTACTGGTAGTGTTGATATTTGGGGTCAATAACGACATGACAAGGTTGGAGTTCAAAAGTATATGTGAAGAAGTAGGATTATATTGCTTCGCACGGGGGGGGGTAGAAAGGGAAGGAAACCACTTTAGAATCACGTTTGGAAGGACAGTAAGCGCAGAATGGGAAAGACTGGAAGTAGAGAAGGTCTCGGCGTGGGTGAGGAGACTTGGTTGGAGGGTGTGCATAGCAAATAGGATCCAGGAAGTAAGGCGTAGCCCAAGGCTGGCTGAAAACAAAGGGGGGCAGGAGATTCGAAAGGATCAAAAGGGAAAGCAAGCCAAAGTAGGGGAAGGGGGGAGCAGCGAAAGGAAAAGGCAGAAGGGAAGGCAAACGAGGGACAGAAGGAATCCTGACAAGCACGGGAAAGTAGAAAGTAGGAGTAAGGAAATCAGACTAGGGTCTTGGAATGTATGCGGGTTTGCCACAGATGAGCGTAAAAGACTCGAAATTGCCGAGCAAGCAGCCGAAAAAGACCTGGACATAGTCGGAGTCCAAGAGTCGTGGGAGAAGGACGGGGGAGAAATAGGAAAAGAAGTGGGAAGCTACACATGGATAGGTAAAATGAGGAGAGGACAGAAAATCAAGAGTAGAGGGGAGGGGGGAGTTGGATTCTTAGTCAAGGAGCACATGTGCGACGTAATTGAGGTGATCAGCGACACCAAATTCAACGAAAGCATGTGGATAAGGGTACCAGGGGAACGGGGAAGGAAGGACTTGTTCGTAGGAAATGTATATATACCACCAGAGTCGAAGAAAATGGTGAAGGACATCAAGATAGGGTTCGAGGAGGTAGCAGCGGATGTACAAAACTTCAAGAGAAAGGGAGAAGTAGTTATAGTTGGGGACGTCAATTCAAGAATCGGGCGAACCACGAACCCACACGGAGCCATCGGGAAAGATGGGGAGGGAGCCACGAACAAAAACGGGGAAGAAATGCTGAGGTTCCTTGACAGTAGCGAGATGAAGGTGTTGAACGGTAGAGTACGAAAGACAGAACCGGAATGGACTAGGCAGTGTTTAAAAAAAGGAGAACGCTCCATCCTTGACTACATAGTCGTAGAGAATGGGGGGAAAGAGACGGAAGTACGAGTATGCACAACGGATGTAGGCACTCCAGACCATGCGTTGGTGTGGACAGCCCTACAACAGACGAGAGTCATACAGAGTAGGCGACGCAGGAAAATGTACAGATGGAGAATAGATAAGCTAGAAGTAGAAGAAACGAGGGTAGAGTTTCAAGAAGAGATGGCTGTAAACGACAAGAAACTCTCGGAGTTGATAGAGGCAATGGGCACACCGAAGGATGCCAAAGGTCGGGACCAGGCCGGATCTAGAATCATAGAAGGGTGGGAAAAGCTGGTAAACACAACGACAAGTAGAATCCTCGGTAGAAAGTTGATAGTTTGTAAGAGAGCAGTGAAGTGGTGGGACGAAGAAATCAAGCAAGCAATTCGAGTACGTAGAGAGCCACACGCAAAATATGCGGCAGGGAAAACCGAAGCAGGATGGAAGGAGTATATTGAAAATAGAAAGAGGGTGAAGGAGTTGGTGGTGAAGAAGAAGAAAGCGTTGTGGGAGGAAGTAGTCCAAAAGACTAACGAAGATTTTGAGGGGGGGATGAAGCAAATGTGGGTAGGAATCCAAGGAATAGTGGGCAAGAAAAGAGGGGGAGACACGGGAATAGCGACACTACGATCTGCCGAGGGTAAGATGGTAAGCAGTTCTAAAGGAAAGCGGGAAGTACTAGTAGAGCACTACCGCAAACTTGGGACACCCACCACCAACGACAACTTCGACTCGGAGTTTGAGAAGGAAATCAAATCGTGGGCAGAGGAAAACGTTGAAAGATCTCGGAGGGAATGTAGATGTAGGCGGTTTGCAGGGAGAGTTCACACGAGAAGAGGTAGAGGACTGTGCAGCCAAACCCAAGAATAGAAAATTGGCAGGGGCTGATGGAATTGTGAATGTGCTTTTGAAACAGGGGGGGGGGGG